TTAGCTGCTAATAGATTAGTGCGAATAAATTAGCTCTGTGTAAACGATCTATTAGCGACAAAAATTACTAGCGCGCTAGCATTTTACTCGCTGCTAGTAGTTTTGAACATGTTTGATAATATTAGCGCTAATAAGTGGAGGGGGTGGTCACGTGACCACTAGCGCTAGCGAATCAGCGCGCTACTACCGGGATGTTTGCACTTCAGCGCTTCTGCTTCTGCTAGCGCTAATAATCGCCATTCGCCACCACTAGCCACACACCAGTGTCGGTACAGTTGTAGTTTGTCTGACAAGTTAAAAGTGTTTGTAAAATAAACTACTTCAGCATTCTGACACATACTTTCTCCCATAAGCTTGTCAACAACCGTTTTTCATAATCAGTGAGAGTAATATGATATGTTATAGTTAAAAATCACAAAAGCTAAAAAATACATTTGAACCGAAATTGATACAGGGGAACAGGGTGTTGTACTATTTTCTTCAGAATTGTCAGGACCATAACACATTAATTTGGATCAAAACTAGCTTTTCTAAAACACCAGATTGTTTTTTTTTTGTTTTTAGGGGGAATAACATAAGCTACAATAACTTTTGAACGGTAATGTTTACGAAAATTGTATTTGTACCATTTTGTTCATAATTTTCATATAAGGTCTATAACATACCAAATTTCTAAGAAAATCGTTTGGGCCATTTTTGAGAAAATCCGATCTTCAGTTATTTTACAGGATTTATGGGAATGTTTCCAATAAAAATTTAAATTAAAAAAAATCAATATTTTAATAACTACACTATAACATTTAGTTAAATCAAATCCGGTTTTTAAAATCCTTTGTTTTCGACGAACCCAAATCAGTTTGTCTCTTTTTATTAATTTCATGTTCACACAACTCGTGTATACCAATTTATATGATAATATAATACATAATAATAACTCTTAACATTTGTTTCAACACATTTGCGATTTCGGGAACAGAAGACATTTTGTGCAGAACTGAAATGACAATTGTGACCAATGAACACTTCATTTCTACATGACTAGCGCTAATAATAAGCGCAAGTAATTAGCTACGTGAAGATGGAAATTTTTGCGCTAGTGTGCCCAGCTAGTGCTAATAATCGATATAGCGTATGAGAAACTGTACCCAGGATGGGAAATCTAACCTACTAAGGGAGTATGTTTTATCTAAAGTAAAACTCAAATTAGCTAAATTTAAGGCTTCACATTAGCGAATTTCCCTATAGGGAAGTAGCTATTACCGTAGTACTCATGGTAAGACCTGGACCTGGGAGTCCGGACGGCGTCTTCTACTTGCATCAGTATATATGCCGCAAGATGAGCCCACGCCTAGGAGGATTAATGTTTAATCCTCCTAGGCCCACGCAGCCTCCGCAAGAGGAAGTCAGGAAGCTGGTCGAGCACTCGGCCAGAACCGGCGACGACCTCGTGCTGGGCTGTGACTCCAACTCCCACAACACTGCTTGGGGATGTAAGGACAATAACGCTAGAGGTAAGGCACTTCTTGAATACTTAGCCTCTAGTGGTCTAATGATTGCTAATGTCGGTTCAGAACCAACTTTTCATAGCAGGGTTGGGGAATCTGTAATAGATCTTACTATATATAACCAATGTGGGGATCAGTCACAGAATTCTGGATTGGAGGGTATCCCAGGAACCTTCCCTTTCTGACCATAGACATATCATGTTTAACATTGGTAACTTTTCCTTGGAAAAGATTGAGTTCAGGAATCCCAGAAAGGCAGATTGGGATATGTACAGATCAACTCTTAAAGAGCGCATTGAATGCTTTGATACACAGTTCCCTTGGGTCAGAGACACCATCATGCTAGACCTTGCCTCTGGGAGCTTAGGCGAGGCCATTGTCACGTCCTTTGACGAGAGATGCCCGCTAACGGTGAGGAAGCAGGGTAAAGTGAGTGGTGGACCACAGAGCTCGTCAGCCTGAAAAAGAGAGTCAGGTCTCAGTTCAGGTGGGCGAAGAGGACAAATAATTGGGATGGCTACCATAGATTGCTAACCCAATATAATATTGCAGTAAGGAGGGCCAAAAGGCTCTCCTGGAAACATTTCTGTAGCAAGCTAGAAAGTGTTAGAGATACATCTAGGATATACACTGTCCTAACAAAGGACAACTCCTCCAAGCTAGGCCCCCTCAAGGAGCCTGGGGGATATATGCTGTATGAACCTAAGGAAGTGCTAAAGCTCATGGCAGCCACCCACTTCCCTGGTTGCGTCATCCCAAGCGAGCCATTGGTGCCGGAGGATGAGGAACAAGCCGTCGCAAGGGCAAACAACACTCGGTGGAGGGTTGCGTGCCACATTGTGACACACAGTCGTGTGAGATGGGCCATAAGGTCACTCATCCCATACAAATCACCTGGACCTGATGAGGTAAGACCTGTCTGTCTCCAGCAAGGTATTGATATATTACTTCCGGCCATGAGCAAGTTGTTCAGGGCCAGCTTGGCCCTGGGACACATTCCTCCGGCCTGGAGCATCTCAAGGGTGGTTTTCATCCCTAAACCTGGTAAGGCAAGTTACACGGATCCCAAGTCCTTCTGTCCCATCTCTCTGTCCTCATTCCTGTTGAAGACCCTAGAGAAACTGGTGCTTAGGTATGTGGGGGACACAGTCCTCAGAGTCAATCCCCTACATAGAAATCAGCACGCCTATACCCCAGGAAGATCCTGTGACTCTGCCCTACATCACCTGGTAAGCATGTCATGGCCGGTGGGCAAAGATGGACTCAGTGTCGGCGGTGAGAGATCTGGCTGCCGTCCAAAGACTCGCCTGTCTCATCATCACGGGCGCAATGATCAGCTGTCCGGGAGCCTCACTGGACTGCCCTCACTCCGATTGACCTGCATGTCAAGGTCACTGCGAGGAGGACTGCCTACAGACTCCTGTAGGTTGGAACAGGAACCTTTGGTTTGGAAAACCTTTGGTTGGATGTTGGAGGATCCCGAGGTCACTCTCGGATCACTCAGCAGGTAAGAGGGGAGGTAATGGACATGCCCTCGGATCACATGCCAACTCGATTCATCTTCGCCAGACCATTCACTGTCCTCCTTCCGTCCAGGGATGAGTGGATGTCCGGTGGGAATCCTCTTCCACAAGGCGACCTTGAATGGTATACTGACGGTTCAAAGGTAAGAAGTGGGATTGGGGCTGGAATTCATGGAGTGCAGAATGGGGTGGACATTTGTCTTCCTATGGGCACTCACCCAATTGTGTTCCAGGCCGAAATGACTGCGATTATGGTATGTGCTAGGGAAAACCTGAGGCTAGGCTTCAGGGACATCAACATTTCCATTTTTACAGACAGCCAGGCTGCGCTCAAAGCGCTTGATTCTTATGAATTCAATTCTAAGGTGGTCTGGGACTGCCTTTCTGCGGTATGTGACCTGGGCAGGCGCAACAAGGTAACGCTCTGTTGGGTTCCTGGGCACTCAGGGATAGAAGGGAATGAGGTGGCTGACAGGCTAGCAAATGTCGCGTCAGCCTCAGACTTCGTGGGACCTCAGCCTTTCTGTGGAATCTCTCGTGGGCATGCATGTCACTCAGTCACGGCATGGGCTCAGGAGGAACACAGGAAAAGATGGGTTAGGCTTCAGCACCATAGGGTAAGTAAGCTCACCCTCTTCTCCCCTTCCCAGACGGTCGCCTCCAATGCACTACGTTTAGACAGGAGGCGACTCAGACAGATCACAGGAATGGTCACTGGACATGGCTTTCTGAAATTACACCTGCATCACTTGAGGATCCACAATGGTGACACTGCGTGTAGGAAATGTGGGCAATCAGAGGAGACTGCTGATCACCTACTCTACGACTGCACAGCTCTGAATGAGGTAAGGGACAGGACTCTTGGTGCAATGACAAGGGGCAGACACCTTCCTCAGGAGGAGCTCATTGACAGGATGCTGGAGTTCATTAAGCAACTCGGGTTTGACGGACTCTGAAGTACCATGTGGGGAGCGCAAAAAGCCCATCAGTGGCTGACGTGCAACAGGACAAGGTCCGGCCCTACAGAATCAATCAATCAATCAATCTGGACCTGGGACCGATTAAATTTTTCATTTTGAGGTCCCTAGAGGCCAAAAACACCATCTGTTCAAATTCATATATATTTATTTATTTATATATATATTTATATATATATATATCTTTATTTATGTATATATGTGTCCATTAGCGCGATAACTCGAGCAAAAATGATCCGATTTTGAAGAAATTTGGTATAAACGTGTAAACGTAAACTTAAGTTTATTCCGAACGAGTTCGCGATCCGGCATAATCGGACCATGGGAACGGGGGTTTATGGGGTAACAATGGGGTTTTCCCATTTTTAACCCTAAAAACAAAACATTTTGCAATTTCTTACCATACCGTGTTTTGTAGAGCTTAAAAAAAGAAATAATTTAGTATATTGAAGCGCTCTTGTATGCCTAACGGTTACGGAGAAAATTCAAAAATAGTGTTATTTAAAATGTCCATGTTATTCTTAAGGAGAAAATGAAAATTGTTGTAGTTTACTTGTTTATGGATATGTATTAATAAAATTTGGCAAATTTATTTATTTCATCCTATACTATTGCCGTATGGTCAAAAAACACCTTTACCTTCCCCGTAGCAGCAAACCTAAGCACTTGTTAAATCTAATGTTATTTAAAAAGGGAATAAATACTGTATGTATTATTTATGGAAATATTTTAGTAAAAATGTAATCAGACAAGTTAAAATTCGCTTAGTCTGCAGGTTTGCTGTGGCGGGGGTATTTTACATTTACAATAAGGCGAGGGAGAGTCGTTAACTTGCAACTTCCAAAGTCAGTGGTTTTTACATACACAACATTGTATATATAAACGAGATTTATATTCTATGAACATTTACAAAGTATTAGCCATTTTCCCTGCCTCTACTAAAACCTTGGACTAGAAGGTTCCATAATCATGCTTCCAGGGAATTCCTTTCTTTCTTTGATAAAATTGTCGTCATCGTCGTCCGTCGGCCGAAACCGAACATTCATTTACTGGTTGTTGGTTCATGGCGATTAGCTTTGTTCCTACGAACACGGTTTAGAAAGAGGTCGTATCTACATCGTGTTTTGTTAAAAACTGTGATATTTGGTTTGCATAATCGAGCTTAAATTATTTAAGGTAAGAGTATGTTGTATATCTCCCCTTAGGTGTAAGATTGTAGGCTATCAGTGTAGGTCTCTTTCAAAAGGAATCGCCTTTCCAATACCGTAATCCATTGTTCAAATAATTGTCTCCCAAAACTTAATTGGACTACAACTGTTCATAACGCGAAATAATCTTTTTAGCATTTAAGAACTAATACTTCTGAAATAGGTGTAAGCTATACCTACTTGATGTAAAACCACACACTTAGGATAGCCTAATTCTACTAGGCATGCTATCTCTACCTTACTAGCCTACACAGCAAGTAGAAACCTGAAAATTTAGAGTACGATTTTTCGACACATAACACTCGAAGGTTATATAGGTAGCCTAGTAGTCCTAAAATTAGGCTAGGATGATAGAAACTAGGCCTAGGCTAGGCTAGGCCTATATCTTCTGCAGAACACTGCATCCTAGAAGTAAAGCTCCGAGTTGCTTAAAATTTTGCTTCAGGTAAAAGTTTCAAAGGATGGGGTCCCATTATAAAGGCCCTACTTAGGCCTAGGCCTACTAAGTTCCGATTCTTTTAACTCCGATGCACACTTAATCCTGCCAGTTATTTTAGATATTCTACAACGAGTACAGAATAGAATAGAATAGAATAGAAAAGTGCTTTATTGAATACATACTATGTACAGTAGGCTACATGAAATGGGTGCGATAATTTATACATGCACATACAACAATGGTCATACGACCGTCTGCTAGGTTGGCATTATGTCCATTCAATATTAATGAAATAAAATTGTCCCACATAAACCAACATACTGAGCACTAAAACAAAATAACACTTCTTTATGCACACATATACATAGATATATACACATACACATGTATGCATATATACACATATCTTTATACTCTAAACATATTGTAGGGCCTATAATACAAAATTTTAAAAATTAAATTCCCTAACTAGCTCCCATCTACTTTTCCATGCAATTTTTAAAAAACTTTCAAGGCCCTGCCAATCCTTCCCATTCAAATAATCCACAAACTCCTCATATTGTATTTTTTGTTTACCAAAATACAAGAGTCGCAAGTCATTGAACACAGGGCAACTAGCCACAAAGTGTAAAGCAGATTCATTCTCGTTTAAATTACACAAGGAACATGTGTGGTTTTTATCGACAATCCACGGTTTATAGTTGAGATCTGTAAGTTCTCCTCTACATTTTATTATCCAAGAAATGGTTCGGTTTTCTAAACCAGTTTCCAAGAAGCTATTGTTGCCAAGGTCAAAGTCAACGACGAGGTATTGAGAATGATAAGCTGAAGTACGCGCTCTGCCTAGACACTCAGCTCTCCAGCTATCTCTCGCTGCTTATGACACTAACTAATTGAGACTTTAACCTACCACTCCCCGCCTCCTCAATCGTATGTATATTCAGGTCCATTTGCACGCCATATTTGATTCCTAATGCTCTCCACGCTCGACACCAATCTACATTTTTTCTTAAAACTTCAGCTGCTAATAATCTTGGTAAACGCTCAGGTGGTAGCCCCAATATATTTATTATATAATTAAGATTCATTGAGAGAGAATAAATGTGTGATTTATCTAGACCCGTTTTCAAGTACAGTGAGTAATTTGGCATGTTATTAGGCAACTGAAACAGTTTCCTAATAAATAACTTTTGTACAGATTCTATCTTTTCGCTCTCTAAATATCCCCATACCTGGCCTCCATAACATAATATTGATCTTACCACAGCGTTAAAACATACAAATTTTGAGGACAGATGCACCCTGTCATTGTTTATTAATTTGTTCCAGGCGGCGTTAATGGCTAATTTTGCAGCTGTGGACTTCATCTGAAAATGTTGTTCCCAACTTAGCATTGGCGTGAACAATACCCCCAGATATTTGTAAGAGTTACAAATCTCGACCTCTTTGCCTTTATAGAACCATTTATTACTTTTTGCCAATCTACCTCCTTTGCAAAAAAACCATAATTTTTGATTTATTAGTATTAACTTGAAGGTTCCATAAATTGCAATAAAGTTCAAGTTTTCCAATCATTTGTTGCAGTACAACAGCTGTGGGAGCTATTAAAACTATGTCATCCGCATACATTAAAATATTTATTTTCTGACCTCCAAATAAACTTAATAAAATTAATCATACACGATAAACTAAATATATTATCAATGGTAGAATATCCACGTCTGAACCCCCCTTGAAACTCTGTCAATATATTATTCTGAGTTAACCACACATTTAGTCTAGAATTCAGCAAACTCGTAAATATTTTACCACCACAGTCAATAAAGGAAAGTCCTCTATAATTCTCAACAGAATTTGGATCTCCCTTTTTGTGCAGCGGGAATATAATAGATTTTTTAAAACTTTCCACTACCCTGCACTTGTTAAACATGTTATTATAAATACCCAATATTCTAGTGAGCAGTGAATCTGGAGAATTTTTATAAAACTCGTAGGGCACCCTATCGTGGCCCGGCGCTTTATTATCTTTTAATCTCGCGAGAACTGATTTTAACTCTAACATACTAAAATCTCTGTCCAAACCATCGTTTGTTATCATTGGTTCCGCATAACAGATCCCAGCTGATAATCGTGGCGGGTTTAATAATTTACTAGAATGATTGATCCAATCCTGCGGTGCAATGTTACCCACGAACCTATCACTCCCGTATTTAAAACTTTTTAAAGCCGACCAAAATGTTTTCGCGTCAGTCCTGTGATTTAAACTGGCAATCGTATTATCCAAGTGCATTTTTGTTTATTTTTACATAAATTTTAAACACCTTACATGCTTGAATGTACTCAGATTTGTCAGCTGTTGAGTTTGTCCTACGAAATATGTTTAACCTCTTAAATTTCCGCTTTCTCAACGCTAAACATTAGTAATCAAACCATTTTTGTTTGTGCTGTTGTTTTAAAGAACAGCTACTACTAGTCGCACTTTTCTTTGAATGGACTGACTCCTTTATAATATGTACAATTTGATCAACATTATTTTGGTCGTCCAACGATATACGAAACCTAGCAATATTCTGAATAACCTTTTCCTGATATAAAATATTATCACGTCGAGTCCATTTTAATTTTGGGAGTAAAGGTAAAATGTTTTCATCTCTTCTCCTCACACAAATGTCGTTATTTATCGATAAGGATACTTCAATTGGCAGGTGGTTAGAGCCCGTGTGTTCAACAACTTTAAACCCCTGTATGAAAGCTAGACAAGATAATGAGACCGCTGCTATATCAATAACAGAGCATCCCATGACACCTATAAAAGTATATTCCCCGCTATAATCACCCTCTGACCTACCGTTCAGTATAACTAACCCTAAATTTTCACACAGATCTAAAATTCTCTTTCCTTTATTGTTAACAATTAAATCTTTAGAGTTTCGGGTTCGTCTAAATAACAATGATTCCACTTGATTAAAACAATATTCTGGTAAAGTTTGTTCTATACCTACACGGCCATTCACATCACCGATCAAAATAAAATCTTGAAAATTATTGTTTTTCAAAAAGTTTGATAAAGCCTGAAAGTTATCATCTAATGAATTATAATTAATATATACTGGCATTAACACTATTGATCTATTACTAACTGTATTCCTTATTTGCACTAATACATAGTCATTGTATTCAATAAATTTATTTTTTCACAAAACGGAGAACTTAAATTAATCAAAATTATTAATCCTCCCATGTATCTTCCATGGCTTGAGCTACGTTTAGCAAAACTAAAACTCTTTTTGAAATTTTTTAACTTTTGGTCTATATATGGGGTGGAGCATCAACCTCAGAAATAAATGATTCTAAAATAAAAACAATATCATACAAATTAATGAACTCTATAAAACTTAAATCATTCACCTTGGACTTTAACCCGCATACATTGTAGGCCACTAATTTTAAACTACCTATCTTACTTAAAGTACTTGTTGAGTCCGTCCGACGTACTTCTGTGGCTGGATTGGCGTACACCCCTCAACCCCGCACTGCCTGAGAGTAGCTCACTGTCCCTGGCCCCTGATGGCTGCCGTCGCTGGTCGCTGTCACAGCATCCCTTGGAGTCTCGCACTGCCTCGTGGTCGACCCTTTGTCCTCGGCTGCACCCTCCATGTCCAAAGGGGGATTTGCTAGGCGATTTATGAACTCCGAGGAGTTGTGGCGAAACATGGAATTCAGCTTTGCAACTCCGTCCTGCCTCCCTGCCATTAGCCTACCCTCCTCCCACGTGAACCTACACTTGTCTATGGTTAGGTGATCATATACCAAAGGCATCCGCCGGGTCCCCGCTACCCTCTCGACCTCATTTCGCACTGACACTAAAGCTTTACGCTTTACTCGCACCTCATTTGGGAAATCTCGGAAAACTGAATAACCCGTGTTTTTCAATTGTTTACCCGAGTCATAATATAGTCAATGTCAGAGTCATAAGGCAAGTGAGCGATTATTGTATCTTTTAGGTTTCCTAAAGGGTGGGCCCTGTTAATACATACTTGACTGTGACCGAACATATCACCACAGAATTTGCCTACTATATACTTAAAGTCCGTTGTTCTTTCACCCCACTTCAGTCCCTTGAATATCAGATTGTTCCTTCTAGATCGACTTTCTAAATCTAAAAGTTTATCCATAATGACTTTATTTTGTCACTTTAGGTCCCTTATCTGTTCATTTTGTGAAACGTTTTCTTCTTCCAAATGTGACACTTTTTGTTAGAGGTTAACCAAGTCAGATTTTGTGGCCAAATTAGACAATTTAGAGTCCAGGAGATAGGACATAACATCTCTGAGAGAAGATCTTAACTGTCCATTAGTTAACTCACCAACTTTCTCATCGTCGTTCTCCATTATTCCCATCATCAAACCTGTAGAAGAATCCTCCGGTGATGCTGGCGAGGAACGCGATCTCGGACGTTTGACAGGTCTTCCCGAAGGCGAGAAATAATTGAATATCTCATCCTTTTTTAAAGAAATTATCATTATTTC